AGCCTGCACTTCCCCCCCCACACACACTCCCAGCCTGCACTGCCCCCCTCCAACACACACACTCCCAGCCTACACTGTCCTCCCCACACACACTCCCAGCCTGCACTCCTATGACTGAGATCTCCCCAGCAGGAGGGGGAAGGCTTCCTTCCTGCTCTCTGAAGCCTGAGCCATCTGTCAAAGGCAGGAAATTGCAGTGCCTGAGCCATTGCATCACAGTCCAGAGCTGCAGCTCCAGCGCAGGCACCCCCCCAGGCTGCAGGAAAGCAGTGTGGCGCAAGACTCACAGCTGGGGTGCTTGGCAGAGCTGCCCTCGACACTAGATCGGCTCAGCCCCTCCCGGCATCCTCCCCATTCCTCGCAGCTTGCGGGACTGGCCTGGAAGTGTCGACACCCTGCAAGGCGAGGGAGCCAATCTCCAACATCCAGGCTATTTAACGGGACACAAGCGTGGGGAACCGCAGGCTGCAAGCGTTTGCTAAGCGCTGGTTTTGCACCGTGCAGGGGACAGAGAAAGGGGAGAGACGCGACGGCCCACTGGTTTGCTCCTGGCTCGGGCAGGGCAGGGGCTGACGTGTGCCGTGGCGAGCCCCTTGGCCGGATGCGGAGCTCCTTGGAGTGCTCCTACCGCACCCAGCAGCCACTTCCCAGGCTGCAGAGCGCCCCGGGAACGCCAGCGCGTTGGCGCCGCGGGATGCCTCGTGCCCTTGGCCTTGCTGCTGGACGCGGCACTTGTTTTCAGTGGGAGTCGCAGCAGAGGCAACGGGGCCGCTCGCCGAGAATGGTGCTGGGGAGGGGAGAACCCGCCTGGACCTGCAGCCCTGGGAGGCTCATCTGCCCAGCCCAGCTCCCCGTACGGTCCACTCCTTGTAAGGCTGCGCCTGGGCAGGTCATCAGCTGCGGGGATCAAACCTGGGGCATCCGAAGGTGCTTCCCCGGCCAGAACTAGCCTGCTCAGGGCAGGGCTACAACCCCCCACTTTCCCCGCGTCCCCTGGGGGTGGCTGGGATATGTACACAGGGTGCTCAGCTGCCTCCAAGCTCTGATCCAGCGATTCAATCTCTTCTGCCAAGGACGCAGCCAGGGGCACAGCCCTACCCCCACAGCCCCCCGCCCTGCGTTCCTGTCCCCCCAGGGCCAGGCGGCCAATCTCTTGGGCTTGGCCGTTCATTCCACTCGCCCCAGGAGAGTCGCCTTGTGCCATCGGTCCCTGCCACGCCGGCACGTCCTGGGAGTTACACATACCACAGTCCAGGTGCCCTGCAGAAGGGCAGGCTCAGCCCAAGCTGGGCTCCATGGCAACCCCAGCGATGGCTCCCTGCAGCCACCACCCAGGGCCAGGCGGCCAATCTCTTGGGCTTGGCCGTTCATTCCACTCGCCCCAGGAGAGTCGCCTTGTGCCATCGGTCCCTGCCACGCCGGCACGTCCTGGGAGTTACACATACCACAGTCCAGGTGCCCTGCAGAAGGGCAGGCTCAGCCCAAGCTGGGCTCCATGGCAACCCCAGCGATGGCTCCCTGCAGCCACCACGGGAGGTAAGGGCCTGTCCTCTCAGGCTCCCGCACTTGTCTCCTACAGCCCGCACTTAAATCCCTCTCCAATCCCCCCCCACCCGGCAGGCCTGGCCAGCGGGGCGGTACCAGGAGCTGGTGGGGGTGCCCTCCAGCAGCTTGGTGAGACGCCCCGCCAGGGGGGTGAAGAAGGCCTCCACGTCGAAGCTGGGCTGGAAGAGCTCGGTCAGGCACTTCATGGTGCTGGCGTCGCAGCACAGGACTTTGTTCTGGGCCGTCACCACGTAGGGGATGAAGGTGTAGCTGCTGCTGTGGTCCTGCCGGGGAGAGACGGGGTGTCAGGAGTCAGGGCTTCTCCCCCGTCTCCTCCCGCCCCCCCAAAGCCTGTCCTCCCTCACCTCAGAAAGGCAGCCCCATAGATTTTACCCAGGGCCAGCATCCTTCACCGCTCGTGGCTGGCTGGCCTCAGCCCAGCTCTGAGGCAGCCCTGGGGGCAGGGTAGTTCCATTCCCACAGCCCAGTTGTTCCCTGGGCCCTCAGCCCCAGTGGCCAGCCAGGGGTCTTGGTCCCCATGAAGGTGGTGGTATTGGTGACAGAGATGCTGCCGTGCTGAGACCCACCAACTCATTTCACGTAACGCCCTCCAGACAGCAAGGAAAGGAAGCGGGGAGCTCTCCCAAGCCCTAGGCAGAGCCTGCCCACACAGGAGGCCAAAATACAACGTCACTTGCCATGCAGCCTGCACAGGCCTTTTTAATACCAGCTGTGCCACTCCCTTTGCTGCACGCTCCAGCCAGCGGTGCGAGAGTTAACCACCCTGGCAGTCAAACAGCCATGAAGCCCCAGAGTTACCACCACAATGAGAAGGCCAAGGGCTGCCACCCTGAACAGGCGAGAGATCTGCCCCAGGCCCGGTCCCCTCCTCCCCAGGCCAGATCCTTGGGGACAAGGCCTTGCCAGGCCCAGGGGTGTCTGTAGCGCTCAGGCCTAGGGGAGTTGGGGGCACTGGACTGCTGCAGAGACGGGAAGGAAGGTGTCCACACCCTAGCGTGCCTGGCTCTCCCAAAGAGCTGCCACACTCAGGTTTGAGACCAAGGAGCAGCTGAATGTGGATTTTCAGAAACGTGGTTGGAGGCTTCAGCCAGCTTTACCCACCCACCCCCAATCGGCAGGGCAGCCAACCGGGCGAAGACAGCAAGGACCCGCTGTAAGATTCAGCTGGGCCTGTCCCACATGATCAGCTCCCTGCCACCGAGCCTGGGGCATCGGGGAGGGCGAAGTGGGGGACTCTCTCGTCTTCCCAGCCTGTTTCTGCTCATGCCGGAACAACAGGTGGGCGGCGGGGGGCGCACAGACCAGCACTAATCTGTAGTGACACAGCCGTTTGCAAATGCCAGGCTGGCACAACGGGGGGTGCAGAGAGCCCAGCAGGGAGAGGGCTGAAGGGAAGGACCGAGGTGCATGGGCAGAAAGCTTCCCCAGAGCCACCACAGCGATGATGGGCTCAGGAGATGCAATTAGCCCATGTCGCCTCCCTTCTCTCTCCCTGGCTCAGGGCTGATGGGGCGGAGAAACGAGAACAAACAGGCAGGGTAAAAAAAAAATCAATTCACGGAAAGTAAACGGCACTTACTGAGTTCTTCTGGCAGATCTCCTCCTAGACAGAGGGAAGGGGGGATATTTAGCTGTCGATTCAACCGAGACGGAGCATGTTAGCCGCGACAAATAGCCACGGTGGGAATTATTTCACCTGCTCGGCGGTGAGACACCATGGGGATGGGCCGCGCAACACACCGAGAGAAATTCACTACACAACCCGCCCTGTGCATGGACGTTCTCAGCTCTCTCCGTCCCCAACATCTGGATGGCAACAGGGATCAGGGGACTGGAAAAACGTATCTATTTCTGATGGGATCTTGCAGCCTTCGAATGTTCTCCCTCTACCAGCCCCGCCTGGACGCTGGGAGCGGAGGTTGTTTCCGGAATAGGCCGTTAGCTGGGAACATTTCACTGGGGAAAACGAGCCCTTTTAATACATCGCTAGTGCCGGGTCACTGGGTGGAGGGCTTGGAAAGGAGGCTGGCAGCATTTTACAGCCAAGCAGCAGCACAGCCATTTGCTGAATGCTTTCTCCCCTTCTTGGCGGCTTGGAACTGGAGTGCCCTTTAATCCTGGCAGGGGTCACAACCGCACCCAAACCACGGCGCATGGGTCAGTCCTGCCTATGGGTGGGAGGTGGTGGGAGTATGTGGGGCTTAGGAATTCATGCTAGTGGTGCTTTTTTTCCTAAAAGGACCGAAGTGTGTAGAGCCGCGATTCCCAAAGTACGGGTCACCACCCAGTACTGGGGCACAGGATGTGGGGTACTGGGAAGCTCCCCATGGGGAGAGTTCCCCAGCAGGGAGCTCCCCAGCGGCTGCCAGGGGGTCGTGGGCATAAACCGTTTTTCCCAACTGGGACACAAGAAAAAAAGTTTGAAAACTTCTGGCCGAGGGGGCTTGCAAAGTCCCAAGCAGCTACTTCATTTAGAGCCCGATCCAAAGTTCATTGGTCATGGGGGGGTGTTTCTATCAATTTCAGTGGGCTTTGGACCCTGAATCCAGGCCAAAAAGCTCTGCTAGGCTGACATTCCAGATCCAGTTTTCCCTAAAGCAGCAGGGCTAATGGCCAGCACTGGGCAGAGGTACTGAAAGGTGACGAAAAAGCTCTGCTAGGCTGACATTCCAGGTCCAGTTTTCCCTAAAGCAGCAGGGCTGAAAGGTGACTGGGTGAAAGTGGAAAAGTGACTCAGAACATGTGCCTCAGATTTGAAGCAGGGGCAGCTTGGCCTCCCCCCACCCCCTTAAGTGGTTTATGTCCAGAAGGAAAAAGGATTTGTTCTTATCTCCAAGGGAGCCTCATTTGCTACCCTCTGAAAATCACATTCTGTCCTGCACCCTATATCTATTGTCAGGAGACTGCTGCTCACCGTGCTAGGGTCAGAGCAGATGGGGGCTTTATTCCCGTGGAAAGACCAGGCTCCAGGGCGTGGAGCAGTGGCAAATGTCCCTATCTAACGGTTCCTGGGACTGGGAACAGAGAGCCCGCTGGGGTTAGGTGCACTTGAGTAGCTCAGAAGAGACGCATGCAGGACTAGGATGCTTCCTGACGCGCTTGACCAATGATCAGAAACAGAACACTTAGACCACCAGCATCCAGCTAACCATTGTTCAACATCCCATTCGTTTTGCTGCCCTTTAGATTAGCTGGAATGTAAAATCTAATTACAGTAAAACCTGTGTTATCCGGCACGCTCAGGGATTAGGCGTTCCGGTTATCTAAAAATTCCGGTTATCTGAGGGTCCCCATGAACCTAGGAAAAATCAATGGATAATAATTGTAAAATTCAAGTGTTTAATATTGGTAGTTTTGTAGTGTGAGGCAGTTGGTCTCACATTTCTATTTTGAGTTAAAGATGAATGGGAGAGGTCTAGGTTGGATATTCGGAAAAACTATTTCCCTAGGAGGGTGGGGAAGCACTGGGATGGGTTCCTAGGGAGGGGGTGGAATCTCCATCCCTCGAGGTTTTTAAGTTTCGGCTTGACAAAGCCTTCTTTGTGCAGGGGGCTGGACTTGATGACCTTCTGAGGTTTCTTCCAGCTCTATGATTGTGTGATTGGTACTTCTTAAATCAAAAATTGTTAAGCCAATCATGGTAAACCAAGCCAGGCCTGTGCGCACGAAGATGTGCCAGTATTGAGGCTGGGGGCAATGCCGGGTAACTAAGTTTTCTGGTTAACAGAGTGCTGGATAACAAAGGTTTCACTGTAATTGGTTAAATGGGTTAAACATTGTGTTTAACCAGTTAACCGATTAAAGGTGATGTGGGCAGGGGGGTTGCTCCAGTCCAGCCCAGTTTGCTGCAGGTCTGGGTGCCCCTCTGGCAGGGGCTATTCCAGAGCAGCCTCTGTCTGCAGTGGGGTGCCTGGGCCTGCCGTGGACAGAGGCTGCTCCATATGATGGGCCCCCAATGGGGCTGAAGCAGCCCCTCCTGGAGCTGCTCCAGTCCCCATCAGTTGATGGTTAACCGGAACTGGTAAGCATCACCTGTAAGGGTGATGCTTACTGGTTAACCAGATAGCCAGTTAATCTTTCACATCCCTACTTCCAGACAGCATTTCAAGCCAGGAAAGGAAAAAATGGGTTTGGGATTAAGGCACTGAACTGGGACTCGGAAGACCTGGGATCAGGTACCAGCTCTGCTACTGACTCAGGAGAACCTTGGGAAAGTCACTTTGTCTCGCTAGGCCTGTTTCCCATCTGTTAAAAGGGGTAAAATATCCCCCCCGCCCCACACAGTGTTGTCGGATTGTGGGGCAGGGACCATATGCTACTGTACGTGTCCAGCACAATCAGGCCCTGATCTCAGTTAGAGCCTCATGCTACCCTAAATCAGAGGCCAGGTAACTAAGTCTAGCTCTTGGCTCAGCTGAGCGTGCTCTTGCCAATCCCCTCCCTCCCTCCTCCACATTCCATGTCCAGGCATTTCCTTATCGTAGGAGATGGAAGGGTGACAGGACTTTGCAAAGGGGCTGCAGCCTCCTCCTACGCGGTTATGCAGCCAAGAATCTCTGTGGGCTCCCATTTGCTGGTGAGTACCGAGAGCTCAGGCTTCAAGCAGCTTTGCAAAGGACTAAGGCCGCCACAGTCACCTAAAACTGGGAAACTGAGGCACGGGGCGATGTGAGGGGGCCAGGCAGAGGCCACCTGGCTCCCAGTCTGCCACTCTAACCACCGGCTTTTTCTCCCTAACGCGTCCATCTCCTGTGTGTAGCCAAAGGCACTTCCTGGCTCACGGGGCCATTTCTCGCCCCCGGGGTGGCTCAAAGCTTGGAGGAGGCTTGGAGAGCCGAGGGGCCCGGTCCCCACCCACCTTGAGGGCCTGCAGGTCCGGCAGGTCGGGGTGGGCGGACAGG